TTTTAGACTTGGTTAATTTTATATTTCAATTTTGTTCATTTTGTCTCCCTCTATTGTTTTCTCATTTTGTTCGATTATAATTTTAATACGATACTTCATTTTCTAAATTTATTGAATTGTAGCCATAAATTGTATCAAAAATTTCTATGGATATAAAATTTTGAAAATATGATCAAATATTGGTCACTTTTTTAAAGTACAATGATTCAAATAAATGTTTTGAGAGTACATATACTAAAATTACTATTTTATTTCCTGTATTTTGTCATTTTTATTCTAAATATTATTTTAATTTTAATTGTTGTATGAGTCCACTCCATTAATCCAACATGTCTCATGGCTCCTTCTATAATAATGTCGATGATTTTGATTTCTAAAACTTTTCGTCAATATTTGAAACGTAAACAAATATTAAACTTTAGTTGACATCATATAATTGTTCTTTAAAATTGTCAACCTAACATATTAACATATTAAGACACCTATCTCCAACCGGCCAAAAGACAGTGAATTTGGATCTCTCATCTCCAAATGCGTTAGAAAAAAAAAAAAGAAAAAAGTTCTTTAAAATTAGGTGGGGCTACAAAAATTTAAAATTAAATTATTATACTATGAATATTTTGTATTTTGATCAAGTGTACTTTAAAGATGGCATAGGCACCGTTCAACAACAACAGTTCCATTTATAAACTTTAAAAATACAATTTACGAAGTAAAAAAAAACAATAATTACAATTTACATAACACTAAATATATACCACATTGGTAAAATGATAATTTAGTCAAGTGCAAAATATTGAAATAATTTCGATATATATTTTTTTTAAATACACGGTTATGTTTATTTTTAATAATTTTTATATATTGATCTATAAAGTTTTAAATTATAGATTTTAGTTTTAACTCTTAAACCCACTTTTTACAACTTCACTTTTAATACTCTAAACTTTAAACTCCACATTTTAGTTGATACGGTTAAAATGAATTAAATATTAGAGATTGTTTATAAATAAAGTTACACCACATTTTCAATGATTTAGAACAAATTTTTGTTTAGTGTAAACTAAACTTAAAAATTTTAAAACAGTTAAAAAAAACTAAAAATACAAGTTGTAAAATTTAGATGACTTTTGAAATTCAAAATAAAATTTAAATGTAAGAGATAAAAACTCATGGGGCAAATATCATATTTATTGATAGATTTAAATTTCATTTTTATCACTAAACTTTCCATATCTAAATCTTATAACTAACTTTTAAAAAAAATAACTATTTTTAAGTCCCTGGAATTTTAAACTATCATACTTTAATTTACGAATTAAAAAAACAATAGTGATAAAAAAATGATTAAAATTCATATTTTTAAAATTTAAATGAATAGTTGGAATTTGAAAATATAAATTTTGAAAATAAGAGAGAAAAACTTGTGAGGGCAAATATCTAGATTTGAATTTCATTTAACTTTCAAAATGTCTCTCCAAGTATATACTCTTAAAAATAACTATTTTTATTTCCTGAATTTTTCAAATTATATATTTCAGCCTATAAATTAAAAAAACAACAATTTTAATGCTAATTACTATTATTCTACCATATAGATTCACTCATCCAATTCATGCCTCATCTTAACCAAGGTGACTCCAATTTAAACTCATACCAAAACATTAATACACATATTCAAACCACAATATCCATAATTAACAAAAAAAAAAATGATTCAAAGATAAAATAGTTATTTCACAAAAGTTTATATACTTATATACATTTTAAAAATTCATGCATCAAAATCATATTAAAACATTAATATTGAGCAATGATATTATTTTTGACAACTTTCAAATCTAAAAAATCCAAAAAAAAAAAAGTTACAGTACTATAAAAATACCTACTCTTTATTTACACGAATTGTTTACCTTTATAAATAATTTCTTAATATTGATAAATTACATATTATTTTAATATAACACTAACACGATAAGCAATGAATGAAAATAGTATACATTTTACTCTATAAAGTACGTGTTTTAAATTAAGGAAAAAATATATATTATAGTACTACAAAAGTACCCGCTCTTTATTTACACAATTTGTTTATCTTTACAAATTCAACATTAATAAATTACACGTTATTTTAATATACACTGTGAACGGGGGAGATTTGAGACGGAGGCATTGGAAATTGTAAATCAATAAAGCAAATTAAATTTATTAGGAGAACAAAAAAAAAGAGAGGATTTCACATGGGGTTCCATAGAAATCAGAGCCAAAGGAGTTAGGGCAGTTAAAATATTAGAATAATGATAGTACAATCGAACGGTACGAGGCTCCTTTGCCTTTGACTCTCTGTTTCGGAAACCACTACGCCCTTGCTTAGAAATAGAATCTTTGTGAAAATTATATATAATTTTTTTTTCTGAATTCGTGTGTCCCGACCAGCTTGCATACACCTCGACTAATCACGGATCAACCGTCTGATCCTACTACATTTGGTTGACAAGGTATCTCGTAGGATATTAAATCCTAGGTAGGTGGTCACATGATTTGAACTTATTTCCTTTAAGTCCTTTATTATTTACAAAGGTGAAAATTATATTTTAAAGTTTCTCTTTTCCATTTACTTTTTACCTTTTTAATTAATTTAACTTTCAGTTAAAGTCTTTTTTGCTCTAATTTATTTTGTTTCATGTATTTTTAAAACGTTAGTTTGGCTTTTGAACTTTAAACATTATTTTAATTACTATACTTTTAAAATATTTGTTTTGGTTTTGTACTTTAATAAAATTACCATTTTGCTCCTTAATTTTATTTTTAATTTCAATTTTTCTATCGCAATTTCAATATGACGCTACACTTTATTTATTTATTAAAAATGTAACCATGACTTTATATTAAGTAGTTTATACTATGTTTAGAATTTGTATAAAAGGATTGAAAATATGGACCAAACGAACATATGGAAAGTACATAAACTAGAATGAAACAAAGTTAAAAGTACGATAGACCAAAATAAAAACTTCTTAATGATTCCTAAAATTAAAAACGTTTTAAAATATTGATCTATAAATCATACTTTAAAACTTTCACGTAAGCAACCCATGGATATTATTTTATGTTTCTTCATTTGAAAATTTCAAATTTCCTTTCCACGATTTTCGTTCTCTTTTTTCTTTCCATGAACTTATGTATTTATTGAATATAAGATCGGCATATGGATAAAAGTTGATTTTTCTTAAATTACTATTCAAATATTGGAGAAAATTTCAGTGATAATCGAGATGGAAATTTGGACATTTGATATGTAAGAAAAACTAGTGGCATTTGAACTCTTCATGTTTGTTAGAAGTTTATTGTTGCTTCAACAATTAAACTTGAGTTAACAACAATTTTATTTATATTTATATTTTTATTTCTGAAAATATACCGTTAAGAAGTGTTTTCCTTTTTTTTTTATTTGTTTTGTCTGTCTCTATTTTATACTCCAACATATAAGAAGTTGATTAACACATCATTAAGTAATTAAAAGGCATATTTATATTTATATTTACTATTTTTAATAACATAAAAATATAGATGCAGTGCCAACAACTAGATATATTATATTATAGAATAACGAAAAAAAATGTGAACAATAAATTGTTTGTTTATTTATTTTGTCTGTATAAGATGGAAATTGACTTATGTAAAATAAAAATTATAAAATTTCATATACATAATAAATTAGGATTGATTTGAGATTAATATAATAAAACGTTACAGGTGTACGGTCAATATAAAATGGCCGCTGGCCCTTAAGCAACGGCCGATGAGCTTCGACTTTCGGGTCGTTATTAATAAGATATTAATTATTTAAATATGCTAATTGCTAACCCCACATGGGTTATCTTTACCGAAAATAGGAGCCGAGAGAGAGATTAATGCCATAACTGTCAAAAGCGCCACATTTCAGTCCAATTTTTTAAGCCTTGGGTTACGCACCCCAAACAATAATAAACCTTATCAACTTTTTCTTTCTTTCTTTAACTATACTAATATGTACTACCTAAAATTTAAATATATATATATATATATATATATATATATATAAAAAACAACATAGTTCAACTCATCTTGTTATTTTTCTACAGGTCGGAATTATTCCTATACTTGTTGTACTAAAAATAATATACTTTTATAGAGAGAATTAAAAAATAGCACAAAATGTATTTTTATATAAAATATTAGTTTTAAAATTTTTAAAATGACATAAATTATGAAATTATATAAATATGAAATATCTATGAGTGTTCGGGTAGGTAGTCATTATGAAGTTCGGATTCATTATTTTGAGATTACATTATAAGTATGAGGCGAGACTATTATCTACTAACCTATATGCTAATGCTTGTAAGGTGAGGTGAGATTTCTAATTTATTAAATATGTTATTAATTTCTTAACTAGTCTAATTATGCTTATGTTGGTGGGTTAACAATATATAAAGAATTTTACATACTCAGCAAATACTCCATTAGTCTAAAATAAATGAAATATTAGGGTCAGATAATAAAGCAATACAATATATCTATTGATTATGTGGCTAAATAATATATAAAATTTATTATATGTAATCAAAATTTTAGATTATTTGTTTTCAAATTTTGGCATCAGATAAGATGTAACTAGATCGGATTAGATGTTGGACAAAATTTAAAAAGTAGAAGATAACATTGTTTTAGAAAAAAAACCATATATAAGAATGAAACTAGAATAAAGATATATAAAAGTTTCCAAAACAAAAACAGAAAAAAAAAAGTTATAAGATAAAAGTTTTGGGATAATAATGGACATAATGAATTATCATTAATATTTGAAATATAATTATAGACGATTATGGTAATCTTAACAGAAAACACGGAAAAATTACTCAATTAATTAAAAATTTAACGTTTTTTCAAATCCGAATCCCAAATTGGCTATAAAGCCAGCGCGTCCAGAACAGAACCAAAAACCTCTTCATCTTTCATCTCACTTTCTCTCCAGAGGGAAAAAAAAAGATCGCCATGGATTCAAAAAAGTCCAACAAAATCAGAGAAATCGTTAGGCTTCAACAGATCATCAAGAAATGGCGAAAAATGGCAAACTCCTCGAAATCGGCAAGCAAAATCTCCGGCACGGCTCCGGCCTCCGCCTCCGCCGGGAAGAGCATGAAGTTTCTGAAACGAACGGTCTCCGCCGGGCGGGAGGGATCCGGCGCCGCCGTGCCGAAAGGCTATTTGGCGGTGAGCGTCGGCGAGGAGCAGAAGCGATTCGTGATTCCGACTCAGTATTTAGGGCATCCGGCGTTTGAGATTCTGCTGCGGGAGGCGGAGGAGGAGTTCGGATTTCAGCAGACGGGCGTATTGAGGCTGCCGTGTGAGGTTTCGATTTTCGAGAATGTTCTGAAAGTTGTGGAGAAGAAGAATGGCGATTTGTTTGGCGGAGACGATTTTTTGAGCTATTGTTCGTTGGAAAGCCTGCAGCTTACGCCGTCGCACCGCCCGCAGAGCCCAATGTGCAGATGATAGATAGAATTTAGGGAAAAAAAAAAAAGAAAAGAAAAGAAAAGAAATCTCTTTCTTTTTCTCTACTTGAATTCCTCCTTTGTTTTTTTTTTTTTGGATGAGGCAAATCAAATCAGCAAATGTATGAAGAAAGAGGAAATATATGAATAATTTTTGGGAATTTGTAGCTTTTAGTTTTCAACTTTGGATCTGCTCTGCTCTATCTTTCTCCGATTTACTTCTTTTTGGTTGAAAAAAATTGGGGATTTCATGTTTAGCATATTAATTTCTGATTTGGAAGTGATTTGGTTGTATAAATTAATAATGTCTGATCTTTCTTTTTTCCTTGTTGTTATTATTATTTTTGATATTTTGATCTCTAAACCTGAATTTTCGTGCAAGTGTTTGTATAGAGATTTGTTTTGATTTACGTTGTTAATTGTTGATATTGTGTATTTTACCTATCCATGTATAAATTATTATTCTTAATAGAGGTGCACTCAATTAGCTTTATTGATCTCTAACAAAAAGCATATTAAAAATAAGATAATCTTATTTTTCTTCCTTTTTTTATTCAAATTAATATTATTGTGTCTGTCAATGATACAAAAGAGGGAAATAGATGGTAACAAGTCAATGTATAAATATTGAGATTGACAGAATATATGTAAATTTAATATCTTGAACCAAAATAAGGAAGAAAGTTTGAGCTAATTAGGAGTTGAGTTGTATGTTCAAATAAGATTTGTCAAGATAGAGTTGTAAATAATAATGGACGTTTTTTTTAAGACAATTGACTTAATTTGTAGTTTTTTAAAAATTGCCTAAATTTTGAAAAATAAAAATAAAAATTTTCAAGAATACACCAACGATATTTTATTTTTCCAAATGCACTAGAAAATAAATACGAAATTAAAAATCACTTGGAGATTTTGGAATTAAAATCTATTATTCTTATTTCTTTTTCTAAAATCACTCCAACACACCCTTAATTGAAAATAGATAGAGATACGCTAAAAAATGCTTCATTTTATATTTTTAAAAAGGTTCCTTCAAACTAAATATACCTCTCTTGAAAAAAAAACAGTGATTTTTATATATTTAATGTTTGAATTGTAATACTCAAAAAACTCTCTAAAAATCTGTGTTATTAATTCTTGATAGATAAATTTATAGAGGATATGACTTTTTTTACTTNCTTTGGTCATAGCTCAATATAAATAGGATAGGTAGCTTCATGGATCGAAAATTTGAATTCCCATAATGAATAAAAAATATTAAATCTCTTTTTCCCAGAGTTTATTAAAAAAAAACAATGCATCTGACTTAAAAGAAAAATCAAATAAGATTTTCTGTTAATCTTTACTTAAAATATTATTAATTTGAATTTTATTTTAACAAATCTAAGTGCCACCGGTATATTTTCTAAATTAAAAATTTTAAATCTTAATATAATAAAACAAAAAATAATTTTTCCAATAGTCAACGGTCAAAGGGAATTGGTTTCCGTTTCGATGCCCGAATAGAAAATTTTGCATTCATCGTTAAAAATGGAAATCACGTACAAAGTCCAATGCATTTTGAACTTCTAATCAGCACAGCCATTTATAAGAGCTTCAGCTGTAAGTAATCAGTAATCAGAAACAGTTGGTTAGCGTAAGTAGAGATTTAAAGTGCATAATTTTTAATTAATCACTTGGCACTGTCAAAAAATAATAATAAATAAATAAATAAAATAATCACTTCACATGCATTCTCTTTTAACTTCGGTTATGGCATTTTGACCAACTTGGACTGTCCATAGCGAGAAAAACCATGTCTCTTTTGCATTACATTGGTTTATTTTTTATGTCAAACTAAATTAATAACATTGGTTTTTTTAGAGTTTAATTTGTGAAATTGAATCTAGCATTACATGTACTTTTCAACTCGAAGAAAACGTGGCTTTAGGCTACTAGAAAATTCTTGAATGTAGCCAACTTTGATAACTTTGCACCATGTGGGGAAGATCGAAAAATCTTCCGTTTACTTTTAAGTTGATAAAAATTATAATTTTCCACAGATATTTAAGTTTTCAATTCCTTCGATCACAACTTCCATCTATGTCATTTTTACATTGTCGGTTTTCTACAAAATTTGTAGCTAAGTGTCAAAATTGAACTATAAGAACCTCTGATTAACTATCCGCACACCCTAACTCAACTAAAGAATTTTTTCCCCTCAAACTCTACCTCATTGTTCCATCTTCCTAAGCTTTCAACAATGAGGTGTATCACATGGTCAATATCTCTAAATATTCAATAATGTTGAACAATTTAAATTATATATTTTTTTTCCTGAGTTATATATAAATTTGAATATTCTTACTCCTTTGTGTAATATTAAAAAGAAAAATAAGCATAATACAAACTATAATAAAAAATTATAAGCATATTATATTCATTTCAAAAGATAATTTTGAGAATTACGATTGGGTTAGAAGAAAATTGATATTAGCGACAAACAAATTCTTTTTATTGAATTCAATTTTAATATGTCAAATGTAATTATAAAAAGAGTTATATATTGCGGACGTAAATTACAAGCCAAACTAAAAAAGTGTCATTATAATCCTATAAATTATAATAAGTTAAGTTCACATACCAAGATATGTTCTAATTAAATTTCTCTGTTCCCACTGTTGCTGTTCACGTTCTTCCCATTTTCTTAATGAACCATAAAACAGCAAATTCACACATCAGCTCAGCTCCTCACGATGTCGTTTAGTGAAAAAAGCTAACTGAAAAAAAAAGAGAAGAAGAAAAAGGGAAAAGGTATTTAAAAAAAAGAAAAAAAACTGAAGTGCGAATGTGATAATATTTTTGGAACAATATTTTATGATATTTTTCATATTTCTGCATCTCGCTCCCATGTGAAGCAGAAGTAAGAAACTGGAGATGAAATTCAAGTCACCGACGATCTTCTTCTTCCTTCTCTCTTTTTCCGCCGCCGTGTCCTCAACCGCCGACCGGTGCGCCGCCGAATTCCGGCCGGACCGACGGAATTTAAGATCCGATCAAATCACGGTCCTCATCAACGGCTATTACGAGTCCCGCATCCCCCTCCTCCAATCAATAGCCTCCACGTACGCCGCATCCCCATTCGTACGCGCCGTGCTCGTTCTTTGGGGAAATCCCTCAACCCCAAGAGAAACCCTGACTCAATTGGCTCGAAACCTCACCGCCGGACCAATTTCCCTAATTCGCCAATCTTCAAACAGTCTCAACGCTCGATTTCTCCCCCGCAGGTCCATCGAAACCGGCGCCGTTTTGATCTGCGACGACGATGTCGAAATCGACACGAAATCGCTCGAATTCGCGTTCAGAATTTGGGGGAGAAACCCCGAACGACTTGTCGGCTTCTTCGTCCGGTCGCACGATATAGACCTCTCGAAGAGGGAATGGATCTACACCGTTCATCCAGACAAGTACTCGATCGTGCTCACCAAGCTCATGATCCTGAAAACAGAGTATCTGTTCGAGTACAGCTGCGGCGGCGGAGAGGCGATGGCCGACATGAGGAGAGTTGTCGATCGGGCGCGTAATTGCGAGGATATCTTGATGAATTTCGTGGTGGCCGACATGTCGAACGCCGGGCCTATACTGGTTGCGGCGCAGAGGATCAGGGATTGGGGGGATCCACGGAATGATGATGGCCACGAACGGCTGGGATTGACTGAGGTGGGGCTGAGTAATAGGAAAGGGCAGCATAGGAAGAGAAGGGGACGGTGCATAACGGAGTTTCATAGACTGTTGGGGAGGATGCCGTTACGGTATAGTTACGGAAAGTTCGTTAATTCAGTTGGCGAGCAAGGTCTATGTAGAAAAGGAGGGAAATTGGTCCCCTGTGATCAAAATATCTGAAAATAAATTAATTATTGTACATATATATTTAGAGTATATAACTTTTTTTTTATCACATTATACGTTACAATTATTTTTCAATGTTCAACTTTTACCTTCAAATTTGAATTTTACCAAATTGATGCTTCAATTTAACGGAAACGAAAGAGGAGAGAAATTGGGCCAAAATTCGGCAATGGAGCCCAATAAATAGCGGCAATTGCGTGCAAAACGAAAAGGAAACAATTGGAAGATGCCTACAATTATTTCTCTTCCATATATCTTTCAGCTTCTTCCACTTAAATCCAGGAAACTGGTACACATTCTCCAGCATTTCTAAGCTTTTGTTCTAGCTAGATTATGATTGATTTTTKATAACTGCGACTCCTTTATTTCTGATTACTGTAATTTTAGTTTCCTCATCTGTTATTTCTCTTAAAATCATTTTTTCACCTCAATGAATATTTAATAACCCCATTAACTTTTTATTAATAGTTCATCCATMTTTTTAACTTATCCTTTCCAAATGGTACCTCTTTTGGGTTCACAATTTTTGTTGTCGAATCTCATTTTTAGATAAGATGTTGGTTAGAATTTTTGGTTGATATTAGGTCAAAGATGAATGAACCAACATTTAACCTGAAAACTTAACTGGATTTTTCTTGTATCAGTAGACAGCGTCCACAATCTGTTTCAAATGTCTATGTCTGAATTTTCAGAAACCTCGCGTGTTCTTTTAGTATTTCCGAATTTTCTCGGTTTTCCCCTTCTGTGGCTCTACTTGTGTAAGTTTTGGTTTGTTTTTTCATTTTCCCCTAAAAATTCATCTATATTTCTATTTTGGTGGATTCAATTCTTGTCTGTAATATGACTCAGGCATTGGATTCCGATTTGATTGGATTACATTTCATAGGATTCCTATTTTTAGGTGATTTAATTGACCGTAGTTTGTGTTAGGATAATAATTTATATTCTGAAGTGATATTTAGTGAAATGACACAACTAACTGGTTTTGCTCTTTTCTCCCTTTACATTACGTGATCACGTAATTCACGTAATTTAATTTCTGATGTATTAAAGATCTTAATATATTTGTTTTTCTTGCCAGTTTTGAAATTCACGTTCTTAATGATAACTATGAACTTGGAGAGTTTTTCAAATTGATGATGCGATTGTCCGTAGTAGAGTCGATTAGTTAAGTCCTTTGTTGTGTTTTTGTTGGGTTGTTCTCACTTAAATCCAATGATGTCACAGATGCTGTAACAAAAGTTCGTAAAATAATGTATATATAAATCTATGACGATCAAATTAAGTCTCCAGGAGATAGAATCGTATTCTACTAACCACCACAAATTTTATGTTAGTTTAAGTATTCATATCGAATATGGTAGGATGGAGTTCCGTCATAAATTAAATATAGTAGTATATTTAACTCCGAATCTAACATAAATTTTTGTTTTTTATTGGCTCCATATCTGACCAGTACATCATTCTATATATGATGCAAGGAAAATTATCTTAAATGATAATATGGGGCCAGTCTTGTTCTTTCTCATTTTGTTTGTAAGTAGTTCTCATATTCAAATTTCCGCTCCTATTTCAGTTCTCAAAGAAATCATATGATTACATGGCAGTGATTACAAATCCTAGTTGATTGGAACCACCATTTTAGTATGACCCACCCCATTTTTATGAATGAAGAATCAAAAGAACCAACAAAGAAAGTTACAATGAAATTGTGTAGAAAACTCCATATGATCATCGTCGCGTGGTAGAATGAATGATTTAAAAAAAATAAATTTAAGTATAATTGATTTTTTGATACCTTAAAAATTAATTTAAAGAGATTTTAAATTTTTGTTAAAATCAAAATTTTAATTTGTCAAATATTATTGAGAGAAGTGATTTTGACAATGACAAAAGTAATTTTGGCGACTCCCAAACACACCATAAAACTCAAACTATGTCATGAGTTTCTTAGATTCCCTAATACAGACTACCACCATTTTCATGTTGTCAATGTTGTCACTACAGATCATATATTTGGGCATATAATGTTTAAATAATGGAAATTTACTAAAAAATAATATATATAATGGAAATTGACCTATGCACATTTTCAATTTGATGTAGCTCAACTGGTTAAGGTAGTGAGTTCGAAACTCTACCCTCATAAGTTGTATTAAGAAAAAAATAAAAATTGAAGTACGCGTGTTTACCTATTGGGATGGGCCTACAGTCGATTTTACAAGAATTTACCGGTCATGTTTCTAAGTGGCCGAGTGAAAAATTTACTTGGGAAAATTTTGCATAAATATAATCTCATCGGCAGAGAAGGAAATTAAAGGATATTTTAAAAAATTAAGACTTTGTTTGATAATCATTTTATTTTTGAAAATTACATCGATCACTTGATGTATTAATAAAAAAAACCTCTAATATTACTTAAATTAAAATTTTTAACTAGACGGATATTTATCAATGTCATATCTAACATAAATTATATCATTAATATATTCAGCATGATTAATACATTTCATATTTATATATTAGTTATATAATTGATATACATAAGATTAAGTGATATGCTCCATATTATGTATATACGAAAATAATAAAGATAAAGTTAGAATAATCCGAAATGATTTTAAAAACCTTGCAATGGTTGTCCTGTGAGATCATTTAAAACACATTTTAAAATAACTTTTCAAATTTCAAGGAAAAAAGATAATACATTTTTCTTAAAAAGGCAAAATAGAAAATAACATTTGAGGGGACTAAATTAAAGAATTAATGCTATTCTTTCGTACAATAGATAACGTCAACATCCCACTTTTGGACAATTGAATAATACGGATAGATATATGAACGGCAGATATTCCAACCACTTTTACAATTGTACTCTCAATCATCCAAAAAAATTATGTCCCTTTAATAACTATTTTATTTTTAATTTTGAAAATCAAATTTATAAGTTACTTTTTAAAATAAAAAAAAAGTTTCTAAAAAACTTTGTTTTATTATTGACATTTTAGTACTAATTAGAATGTGTTTTTGTTGGAGGTGAAAGAATATGTTAAAATTTTTTTATGAAACGAACCTGATTTTCGAAACTAAAAATGGGGCCTAAATGATGAGAGGCTCACTTTTTTTTTTTTTAGGTTTTAATATTCTTTTCGTATATCTACTCATTTCCTTAAAATTGGAGTTTAAAATCTCATGCTTCGAATTTATTGTATTAAAAAATAAAAAAATAATTTTACTTCACATGCGTTTAACTTTCAAAATATCTATTCTGATCTCTATATTTTCTACCTTTTATTTATTTTTAGTCATTGTATTTTTGAAACGTTTGTTTTGGAGCTTGTACTTTAAAAATATGACAATTTTAATTTTTAAGTTTTATTTTCTCTCACATCTATTTCAATCAAAATTTTAACGAGATACTTCACTCACTAAATTTCTTAATAATAAATCTGTTTTAAAGAATTTTCATTATCCATAATCATGGGTTAAAGTTTTAGACTATAATAGTTAAATTTTTTAAAGTGGACGAATATGGAAGTTAGATTAAAATAATAATTTTTTTTCTTTTTCATTGAGATACAGTTAGTACGTCGGAGAGATTCGAACTTATGACTTTGTAACGAGGTTGTTAATAAAAGTTAAAAATACCAGAATTAAAATGGAAATGGAGAGTAAGAGAACGAAAATAAACTGAGACTATTTAAACATTTATTTTATTTTCCATTTATTTTTGGTGGAATAAACGTAACCGGGGGACTTCTTGTAAGAGGAATCGGTTGGATCTTCAGAGTTCACTCGAGAGGGAGAGATGATTCGTATATTTTCTTTCTTTTTTTTGGCGGGAATTGCGGGACTGGATAAACGCTAAATGATGAGGCGTAACGCCCTCTCCTGACCTATTCGAAGGAGCGAACGCCCAATGCTCTTATCCTTATTTGTTTCAACTCCAATTCTGTAGTGTATAATAGTTTCAGAAATCAAAGAGAGCGAAATTTGAAGTTCATCAATTGAAGTCGATCAAGAGTCGCGACTACGCAGAGCCTGAGAAGAGAATGGGGATTCAACCGGAGACGGAGGCAGTTTCAGCCGCGAGGAATCGTTTGGTCTTTGCTTACTACATCACCGGCCATGGCTTCGGCCACGCCACTCGCGTTATCGAGGTCAGATCCTCCATTACCATGGAGTGTTGATTTCATTTCGGTTTATTGAATGTGTTTTTCTCGCTGGATAATGGAATGCAGTTGGATTTCGTTCTGTTTTGAGCTTGAATTTGTCTGTTCTCGGATTTTTCTTTTTGTTTGTTTAGAAATTCTGTAAGATGAGTCCTCGCGTCAAATTTAATTAGTTTTGGAATGGCGAGAGGAATGGAGTTGGATTTCGTTCTGTTATTTTGATCTTCATGTCTTGTAATGTTACTTATTGACAGTCTTCTGGAGAAAAACTTCATGAAAATCTTACTGAATTTTCTTCGGTTTAGATTGAATTTGTTTTTCTCGCTCGATGATGCAGTGCAGTTTGGATTTCGCTCTTTTATGAGCTTGAATTCTTCTGTTCTCGGATTTGTCGTTTAGAAATTCCGTAAGGTCAGTCCTCGCGTCAAGTTTTATTAGTTGTGGAATGTCGAGAGATTTCCTCCGTGCTTGATCACGCTTTCTCCTCCCGCTTGAAGTGCTGATTTATTTTGATCTGAATTTTCTGTAATGTTGCTTATCCTGCTGACAGTCTCCTGGAGAAGAACTTCATCAAAATCTTACTGAAATTTCTTCTGATTTTCGTTGTGTAAATTTTTGTATGCATCGCTTAACTACATTGTTGATATTCTTCTTCTTCTTCCTGAGAAGTGATACATTGTTTTATGCCGAAAGGTTGCTCGGCACCTAATCCTTGCTGGCCACGAGGTACACGTGGTCTCTGCCGCTCCTGAGTTTGTTTTTACTTCCGCAATTCAGTCCTCTAGTCTATTCATTCGGAAGGTAATTTTATTGATTCTCATGCCTGGCTGCTAATGCTCGCCTGCTAAGCTATTCATCAAGCCTATTCGTTTGATTTAAACTTTTAGTTTTAATGCTTCTCGGAAGGTATTTTGCTTGTGGATATGATGCAAAAATCACTAGATATTGTGTCTCTCTTATTTTCTATGTGTACCGTTTGCAGTTCATAATAACATTGTTGATTAATGTATCATTTTTTTGTACATCGTGCACCTCCTATCATCGAGGTTCACATTTTATTTATTTATTTATTTTTTTTGGTCTCGCACTGAAGAGAGCTTTTGCGCACCTCATGCTCTAAAAAAGATTGGATGGATATGATAATCTTGGATTACCATAATCCTGATTCATTTCCATGTCAAGGGCATCCAGAAATATGTGACTGTATTTATGCTGTCGCAACAGCACCAGTTAATCTTATTAAATTTATTAATTATTTTGGTAATATTTTTTCATATTCATTTTCTTTGGCAATTTTTTAAAAGACATTTTAAATATTTTTGTCAATACATTTCTTCCTTTTTTTGTAATCTGCTAATGAACTGACGGTCAACATTTGTAATGTACTTGATCAATTAATATATGATTAAAATTTAGATATAGCTTTTATATTTGAACTGAAAATTGATAATTTTATATAATATAATATGTTTCCATGAACTCATAGAATTTAAAACTAAGTGCCTGATCTTTTAGTTTCTTTTCCCTTTTCCAAATGAGGTTTCAGTTGAATTCCAATTGCATTCACGTAGAATATTGTGGTATAGTTAGTTGCAAATAAACCTGTAGGTATCTGTTAGATTTATATTTTCTTGAATCAATTTTAGGTGTTGTTGGACTGTGGGGCTGTCCAGGCAGATGCGTTGACAGTGGATCGCTTGGCATCCTTAGAGAAGGTGAGGAGTTAGAGTTACTGTCATCATTCTTTTTTTAAATTTCTTTCCAATTTATTCCTTGTATCTGCACTGAACTGTATAACTATCATGATTCTTCGAAATATGAAATACAGATTTTACAAAATATACCATGCTGTTATCATCCTTTTGTATTAATTTGCCAGCGTATCACTACTACCTTGTTCTTATCAGGTCACTGGTTTTTTCTTTTCTTTTCTTTTCTTATTGATTACTAAATCTACTCCTTTGGTAATGTTAGTATCACGAGACTGCTGTGGTGCCTCGGGATACCATTTTGAAAACAGAAGCAGAGTGGCTTAAGTCTATCAAAGCTGATTTAGTGGTAAATACCTCTTATTATATGCATGCTCAAATCAATGCCACTTTGACTATTTTATTATGTGAAAATATCATGAGGCGGAAAATATTCTGGCTCTGGAGCAAAATAGTGTAATAATTTACAAGACAACTTTCATGAATGTGGATTTATTGACTCACAATGAGAATAATTTCTTTTAAATCATATTTTCAAAATCTTGATAGTTTTGCTTCTACTAAACGTGAACAGGTTTCTGATGTTGTACCAGTTGCTTGCCGTGCTGCAGCTGATGCTGGGATTCGCTCTGTTTGTGTTACCAACTTCAGGTAACTCATTGACATAGTGTTTTTACTCCCCACTTATGGTATCACTACTTATTTGCCACAATGTCTTCCTGTTATTAGACAAAATATTTTAAGGCCAGCAGTCATTAACTTAATTTTTGCAGTTGGGATTTCATCTATGCGGACTATATAATGGATGCTGGGCATCACCACCGTTCAATAGTCTGGCAGGTGAATTTTTTATATTTGAAATTTGAGTATCTTTAAATGGTTCATCTTCTTTCCTTGGTGGGATTGGGAGGGTTATATTTTTATAGAAACTAATTTTAATGACACCTAGAAATTATTGGCATTTAATTTCTTTCACCATCACGGTGATTGTTATTATCGTCGCTTATCAGACAATTTTGTATTGAAGAGACTTTTTGCATGTTATTCCGAAGAAAATTTGAATATGAAATTTGAAAGTCTTAATGAAGTCTATCTTTCGTTTCTTTTTATTACTGGAACTTTGTTTATGATGCTACAACTCTTATTGTTCTTGGCATAGACATTTGACCTGTTATGCCGGTTTAATGTAGATTGCAGAAGATTATTCACATTGCCAGTTCCTGATCCGCCTCCCAGGATACAGCCCAAGTATATGTTCAAGACAGTTGTTTTTTTTCCTTCCTGTTACTAATTTTTGTAATTTATGATATTTAGTTTTGTATTCATTATTTTTTCTTCTTTCTGTCCCAATATTTTCATTCCCTTGCCCGAATGCATCTTGCTTTTGCAGTGCCTGCTTTCCGTGATGTTGTTGATATCCCTCTAGTTGTCAGGAGGCTGCACAGAACCCGCAAAGAGGTGTTGCATTCTACTGAGTTCCTTCACTTGATCATTTTTATTTCATGTGTGGTTCTCTTACTTGAGTCCTTATTCTAGGTGAGGAAGGAGCTGGGGATTGGAGATGATGTCAAGTTAGTTATCCTCAATTTTGGTGGCCAGGTAGGTTTAATTGAATGGTTCTGTTTGTTGTATGGCCTGTGAAATATTTATTGAACTCTCCATGTCAAAAGTTTGATCCTTTCATTTGTTTGCCCCTTGGAATGTGGATGCTTCAGACATCAGCCACACTGTGAATTGCTTGGATACTTGAACTAGCCTACTGATACTTGAGTTCCTCTTCTTTTTTTTTTTCGGAGGCACATGTACTTGAGTTTTTAATTTCACCAAGTTGTACTTTTAAAACTGTATTTCTCTTTGGTTTCCTGATTTTAAATAAATTTTTGTACTAGTATATATTCTCACTTAAAATTTACGTCTGTGCCATTGTCCTTTTGTCAGCCTGCAGGCTGGAAGTTGAAAGAGGATTGTCTACCCCCTGGTTGGCTGTGCCTGGTATCTTAATAGCATTTATTGTTCAAGGCAAGCATAAGTTGCTATTATACTGTGACCTGAACCTTTTTTTTTCTTTTTTTTCCTGGTGGTTCAGGTTTGTGGTGCTTCAGATAGTGAAGAGGTTCCGCCAAATTTCATTAAGCTCGCAAAAGATGCATATACACCAGATCTGATAGCTGCTTCTGACTGCATGCTTGGTGTGTAAAATATAATTTTGTAAGTGGCTGAGTTTGATCAGATAAATAGAAACACATTCACAAATGTTCCAATTTTTTTCAGGAAAAATTGGTTATGGGACCGTTAGTGAAGCATTGGCATACAAATTACCCTTTGCCTTTGTACGGAGAGATTATTTTAATGAAGAACCATTTTTAAGGAATATGCTTGAGGTGCTATTATTTAGTTTGTCTTCAATGATTTTCTCTAGTAGTTTTCTCTCTTTCTCTACATTTGGTTAATATTCTTATTGGTCACCGTTTCTTTAACAGTATTATCAAAGTGGAGTTGAGATGATAAGGAGGGATTTACTAACTGGTCATTGGAAGCCTTATCTTGAACGTGCTATTAGTTTGAAACCTTGCTATGAGGGAGGCATCAATGGTGGTGAGGTACACTGCTGGCACTATTGAGTTCTATGATTTCTTTTAATGGTCACAGACACAATCATTTTACTTAACTCTGTATGGTTTGAGAGACACGATGTCACATGCTAGAGAATTAGAAAGTTTCTCGATATGATCACTCAATTTATCATATGCATTATCTTACTTTTAATAGGTTCGTTGACTTCGGATCAGTTTTCCTCAACTAGTGTTAATGTGCACTTAACTTATTCCCATTTTGGTGTTACTTAAATATGAGGATACCTTGGATTTCTACTGTAGGACATGGCGATGTTAAGGTTCTTGAGGTCTTGTATTCTGCCACTATCACATTAGAAATATTTAATGAATTGGTGAGACAAACGAGCCACCTCCTAACAAATCCACAGTTTCAGAGCCATCGGCCTCTATATTTTTAGGAGTGGAGGTGTAGATGAGATTCATAAGGTTGAGCCACAGTTGAAACTCTCATTAAAAAAATTTCTTCCAAAAGGAATATCCCAAAAATGCTCTTATGAGAATCCTGAAGATCCTTGACTGAGGCAGCTAATATGCCGCTATATATATAATTCTGAAAGCTTATAATATCAGAGCTATGCTGGACTTAATCTAGTTTTACAATTTACTACTTTGAATGTCATTTTAAAATTGGAACCCGTACTGTCTTTGTCCTATCAATTTCCCTACTATATGAGTTTTTTGGTTCTCAAAGTGATCTTTGAGATTCCATTATTATTATTGAAATTGGTGTTTCGCCTTTGCACCTCTTATGTCTTTACTGTTTAACAGTTCTTATTTTTTAACAATCTGTAGGTTGCAGCCCATATTTTGCAAGAGACAGCTAGCGGGAAAAAATATACTTCGGACAAGGTCAATACCCTTTTCATCTCACTGTGCCATATGGCTCAAAGCCTCAAAATGACGTTGTTCATTGTTAGTTTTTGGATTTGCTAGCCTATCCTTTTGTTATAACAGAATTAAGCATTTTCGTTTATTTGGCATCACCAAGACACCAACTTCAACGTGAGTTTTATCATCCAATTTAGTTATTGAAGTTTAGCATTTGTGGTTCCACATAGTTACAATCTGTTTTGGGCTTTGTTTTTAATCAAATTAGAAAATTCATTATAGCTTTTTGAAAATGTAGTTAAGTGGGGCGAGAAGATTGCAAGACGCCATAGTTCTTGGATATCAACTCCAAAGGGTTCGTGGTAGAGACCTTTTCATTCCAGACTGGTATGCGAATGCTGAGAATGAACTTGGCCTTTCAAAAGGATCACCAATTTTGCAAGCGGATGACAGAAGCTCACAAATAGACTAGTGAGAATCTTGTTATATTTAAAGAGTTTTTATAACTTTGAAGAACAATGTTTATATATATAATTTGATGTCTCTCCGTTTGTTCTTTTAGTTCTATTGATGATTTTGAGGTGCTTCATGGAGATGTTCATGGTTTTCCCGACACAGTGAATTTCTTAAAGAGCTTGGTAGAATTAGATACCTTGAATGACAGTGGAAACATTGAGATACGGCGAGAACAGAAGGCTGCTGCTGGACTCTTTAATTGGAAGGTTGTCCACAAGAACTAAAATATTCTTATAACTTCATCTCCCTTCTTTTTCATGGTTCTCAACCATCACAGTCAATAATTATATACGTGTTAATGGATTTGGAGAAGGTCTTATTTAAATACATTGTCTTTAGGTAAGCTCAACATTGTATAATAAGCTGCTGATTGTCAAAATGGGTATTAATTTAGTTGGTTCTTCTCTACTGGACGTTTTGCTGCATTTTCATCTTATTCTTATTCAGGATTCAGGAATGTGGTTCAATATATGGATATAATAGCTTTAATAGAAATAGCCTGTGAAGGCAATGATTTAATACTTAGGATTGCCAAAAATAACACTTCCTTTTCTTTGTTGGGGGCGTGGGGGGGTGGTTGTACATTACAGGAAGAGATTTTTGTAGCAAGAGCACCTGGAAGGTTGGATGTCATGGGAGGCATCGCAGATTACTCTGGAAGCCTTGTCTTGCAGGTACCATCAATCTTTTATCTTGTAGTCCTTTGAATAATATGCAGAATTTTGGGTTAGCAGTTGAGTAGGATGCTAAATTGATTCTTTATCAAAGTTGCGAGCTCCCTTCCTGACATAACTAGTATAGAATAGATCTTTTTTGGACTTTACTATTTCTATTTTTTTTCATTTTCATACAATATTTAACTTTGTTTTATTTTTATCAGCATTCCTTTTTCGTCAAATGTTCACTCAAATTTCTGGATGATCCCTGCTAGTGTTTCTCTTCCAATCCCATGCAATTCGAGCACACATTTACACATCATCTTAGTGTTGTATGTCTATCTCATTTTTCTACACGGGAAGTTAAGGTTTCAAGTAGTTTTTGTTGCTAGAGAAGAAAAGTTGTGTTCAGTGACTAAAAGTTTGTCATCCTTCCTCGTGCATTTATGCTATACTAAATATCTATGAGCACTTAGGGAAACGCAACTTTACAGAGTAATTCTTTAATCTTATGTTCTCATCTAATAAGTGGTCTCTACACAAGTATGGTTGTTCCTTCATGGGCTGCGGAGATGATGAGTGTCATTGTAACATGTTTTTCTTTTTCACATTCCAATTTACTTTTTCTTTACTTGTATCGAATTCAAAAGTTTCTGGCTCCAACAGAGGACTCAATACTGTTGTGCGTCTTTCCTTTATCTTTTCTGAAGTTGCTTTTGTACCTTATTGTCAATGACATGTTTTTCCGTCCTTTTTGGCATTTTTGCTCTCCCTTTGCCCCTCTCCAGATGCCTATAAGAGAAGCCTGTCACGTTGCGGTGCAAAGAAACCATCCTAGTAAACATAAGCTTTGGAAGCATGCACAAGCTCGACAGGATTCCGGAGTACAAGGACCTGTTCTTCAAATAGTATGTATCATCTTCTGGGAGGCCTCTCTTTGCAAAGCACACTTCAAAGAAACTTTCTTCTTTTTCCTTGCTTATCAATGTATTTGCACTATTTTATACGTTTATCAATTTCCCTACGATGAGAAAGTTGGTTATTTTCTTTTCTTTACGAGTCATATAGTGATTGCACTTTTATAGAAGTGTCCAATAGAATGATTGAGTTTACTTTCTTGGTAGTCCCGTTGGTGAGTAAAAGGACTTGAGTGCTTAAAAATATTTCTGAACGAAATGCTGATTGTTTGAGGTTTCCTCTTTGTATGTTTTCAAAATCAGGTATCATATGGTTCTGAATTGAGCAATCGTGCCCCAACCTTTGATATGAATCTATCTGATTTCATGGATGGAGGGAATCCAATTTCGTATGAGAATGCAAGAAAATACTTTGCCAAAGATCCAGCACAAAAGTGGGCAGCGTATGTTGCTGGGACAATTTTGGTTTTAATGACAGAGTTGGGTGTACGATTTGAAGACAGTATCAGTTTGCTGGTATATCTTTCGCCCTATTATGTTTCCAGCAAGTTATTAAGTGCAAATATATAGGTCCCAAGTCTTCAAATGCTAGCAATCATCATTACATGAAAGTACCTAGTTAAAACGATCTGATTGTCCAAGTCTTTAACCATGTGCGGACTCTTATCAACATGTCTTATCCTGAACTCTGTTTGACGGTCATAACGTTGCATGTTGTAGAGGCAAGCTATCATTAAGATCACCAAGTGATGGTCTATTGAACTAATTTTCCTTTCAGGAATCTTATGTACATAAAATCCCCCAAAAGGACCTCATGATCATTATTTTTTTTTTTTGGTGTGTGTGTGTGGATCTTTATTATTTGGTTCATCCAGCAATATGCCAATACACATACAGCTTCTATGATTCTTAGGGTGATGAGCCTGCGCTTAGATAATACATTTCATTAATACTAATATGATTCTTAGGGTTATGTCTGCCCAACAAGATACAATGTGAGATTATGTTGTGTCATGGAAGATATGCATGTGCTATTTTTTCCAAGCTTAAATGGAATTAGTAATTGCTTTTCAAATTTGGCTACCTTTCATATTGAGCATGTGAAAATGTGAAAGTGTAATATCTTGTTGATCTATAATTTCCGCATACAAACCCTTCACATTGCATACACAACAGGTTTCCTCAGCAGTGCCGGAAGGAAAAGGTGTATCTTCATCTGCCTCCGTGGAAGTTGCCACATTATCTGCTGTAGCTGCAGCTCATGGTAATTTAACTAAGGCTTATCTGCATCCCATGGCAAAGATGCTAATTAACGTAAATGTAATCAAGAAAAACGTCACCTTTTTTTTTAAAAAAAAATTGTATGTTTATTTTTAAAATTTTAATTTAGTGCTTGGCTTTTAGGAAATGTAATGTCATGAGTTTAAAGCTAAGAAGTACAAATACAGACACAAGACACAAGACCAGTGAAATCATTTTATGAAAATCTAGRACACAAACACAACAAGGATAAGTTTATTAAAATATAGCATTTTTTAAAAGTATATATCATTTTTATGTGAGGAAGGAAACTTAAAGTCCATAAGTTTATGTATTTTTATGCTTAAAAAATGAGTTTGATGTATTTTCTCTCAAAATTGACTACTTTGTCCTATATAATATATGTCTATTTCTTATGCTTAACAAGTGTTCAATATATGTCTAACAAGTGTTGAATTCATATTCATTTTGTACCACTAGTATGTGACATACATCTATTGAGCTAGCTAACAGGTGTCCGACTGTCCAAGTGTTGGAGTGTCCACGACCCGTTACCCAAACTTAAATGTCTGTGCTTCTTAGGTTTAAAGTTACGATCTGCTTTTGGATTAGACTTAGGTGTGAGATCATTTTGCAGAAGGGTGGATGCGCTTTTGTGTCAGATTAATCATTAGCTGCAAGTAAAATCACTTAATGTCCAATCTAGTTTCTTACGTAATGGTGGAGTGGAGATCGAATTGACTTCTAATTCTTGAACTCTCTCTCATGTGACTTAAATGAGCCCTGTGCACTTTAGGCATGGCCTTACTATTGGTTTATGCTGGAACTTATTGATGAAGTTGCTTCACAATTTTATTTCGCATCTATGTAACAAATTTTGATTGAATTCCTGTATAACTCAAGTTATTGAGCTTCTCTGATCAGAGAAGTCAATTGAATGAACGTCATTGATGTCTTGCAGGATTGAGCATCAGTCCAAGAGATGTAGCTCTACTATGCCAAAAGGTTTGAACCCAATGACCTATCTTTACCAAAGCCTTCAGAGCAACTTTTTACCTAACCTCTAAAATTATTGTACTAGGTGGAGAACTGCATTGTGGGAGCTCCATGTGGCGTTATGGACCAGATGACTTCAGCATGTGGAGAAGCCAACAAACTACTAGCAATGGTGTGCCAGGTACATATAATCATTTTAGGCCTGCTTACTATGACGCAGTTATCCTCTTCAGTTAGAATCACAAAAGTTTTCTTGTTATTTTTCAGCCAGCTGAGGTTCTCGGACTTGTTGAAATACCAAGCCATATTCGTTTTTGGGGCCTTGATTCAGGAATACGTCACAGGTATCGTTCTAACTTTGCCTTTTCTGTTCAACAGGGGATGTCGTTCGTTGTTTGCTTTAGTTATTAGAACTTGGACCATAAGTGGTTTGCATAATCACTGTTTTTTGCCCTTTTCAGAAAGGGCTTCGATTTGGATTCTTTCGTTTCATAACTCTTTTTCACAGGAAAGGAACAAAATTGTCAAGTTGCTAATTTTACAGTGTTTCTACATAGAATCAAATCAAAGCCATTGGTGTCGGTTCATAACTATCTTATCTCATCTGTGTTTTAGACTTCTAATGTTGAATTATTGAAGTTAAAGTGCACGCAATGCGCTAGGGAAAGCTTAAGACCTTTGTAAAAACCTTACATATTAGGCAAGAATATTCATGTCCATTGTTAGTAGATCATTCTTCACCTAAATGCTCCTCACATCCTAAAATGTCAAAGTTAAACTATTCCTATTGAAAGTTCGAAAAACTAGTTAAAGTAAACGAATTGATTTCGAGCAGTGGCAAAATCTTAAATTTATCATCAACAGGAGCTTCATCTATATAAACCCCAATAAGACTTACCTGAAGCTAGACTCTTAATCCTACATTGTTTCTTGGGCAGTGTTGGCGGTGCAGACTATGGTTCTGTAAGGATAGGAGCATTTATGGGTAGAGAGATCATCAAGTCTACAGCATCTTCTATGTTACCAGTCTCATCTTCAGTCGCTAATGGTGTAAACAATGATGACTCGGAGGACGATGGCGTTGAGTTACTTCAAGCCGAATCTTCATTGGATTACTTGTGTAACCTACCACCTCACAGGTTAGTAGATGGCCCCTCATAACCTCTTCCCTTGTCCTTGTAACTGATAAAAGAAAATTAAATTGGTACTCACTGAATCAAATATGATGAATCATATTTAACCTTTATGCTGTGTTTTCTAACTGATATTTTAGGTATGAAGCTGTTTATGCTAAGGTGCTTCCTGAATCCATTACTGGGGAGAGTTTTGTGGAGAAATTTGTTGATCACCACGATCCAGTTACAGTGATCGATGAGAAGCGTATTTATGAAGTTAGAGCTTCTGCAAGACACCCTGTATATGAGAACTTCCGTGTCAAGGTTTGGAATTATAAAATCATTGTAGCACACTAGTTGCGATATATTAACTCGTCGAGAAATAATTACTTAACCTCTCTTTGTACAGGCCTTCAAAGCACTGCTTACTTCCGCAGCTTCTGATGAGCAACTTACATCTCTTGGAGAGTTGTTATATCAGGTTTATTTGTTTGTTTGTTTAAAATAACTACTAATTGCTGGAATTCTTTACAAGCTTACTCTGATTTCTTTTCACATTTTTTTTATAACATTTGGTTAAATAATCAAAAGTGAATTTTGAAAACACTTCTTGCAAAAGAGATTTTGTTTTACATGAAGAACATATAGTCTTAATGACCTTGTAGTAGCTAATTGGAGAGCTCTTTCGTAATCTTTTATCATTTTCTTAGCCAAAACAAAAACAAAATTGATGGTGTTATTATGATGATAATGGATGCAGTGCCATTACAGTTACAGTGCGTGTGGACTGGGGGCAGATGGGACAGATAGGCTTGTGCAGTTGGTGCAGGAAGCCCAGCACTCAAAGTCGTCTAGAACTGAGGATGGGACCTTATATGGAGCAAAGATTACTGGTGGGGGCTGTGGCGGAACTGTTGGTGTTATTGGCAAAAACACCTTACGCAGCAGCCAGCAGATCATTGAGGTAACCCACCAAACTTTCTAACATTTCTTTTTAATTATTATTTATACTTAAAAAAAAAACCAGACTGCTTTTTAGAAACAGGCGATTAAAACTCTATTTGATAATCATTTTGTTTTTTTGTTTTAAAAAATTAAATTTAGAAATATTACTTTTTGTAACTTGGTTAAGAATCTAAATATGTTTTCAAGAGAGGTCAAATACTTACTCACGAAATTGTACAAAAAATTTTTAAGAACAGAAAATTAAAAATAAAGTTATTAATCAAATGGCACCTAATATGTGTTTGATAGCGTTTATTTAAAAAAAAAACATTTGAGTTTTCTATTTTCTACTTTCCGAAAAGAAGGAAATAAAAATTTGTATAATAATGATTTTTTTGGTCTACTATATAATAATTATAGTATTATGATTTTTTTTAATTACTCAAACCAAATATTATTTTATTTTATATAGTTCCCGCACATTATCATGGAAAACTGGATAAGTTGGTAGAAAGAGAGATGGAGTGTCGGGTAGATGGGGCTACATAGTGTTGAGATAAAAAAACACAAAACAAAACATAAATAAATAATAAAAACATAATTTGTTGTTTTAGATTTTTGAAAGTCACGAACAATTTAAACGTGTTTTTCAAATTTAAAAACGAAAAAATTGAATGGATTATCAGACGCATTTTTAAAATACAATACTTAAAGATAGAAAATGGCTACATTTTCAATTTTCTGTTTTTATAAATGTATGTTTATTTCATAACCAAAATTTGAAAATTGATTGTCAAAAACCTGTTTTTATTTTTATATTTGGATATGATTTCAAAAGAGTTTTTAAAAAGTACAAAACTAAAATAAAATTGGGTAAGAATAGTCTTTAAAAAAGACTACTTCATCAAATAAAGTTAAAAAGGTAATCAATTCACATCTAAAATTCTCAAAACACCAAATTCTAAGAAGCTAAATTCTTAAAAAATGTAAATTTTGAATGGGTATTATTATTTTAAAGAAGTTTTTTAAGTATTTATTTTGAAAATTATTACAGCTACAATATTTGTAAAGAAGTAAATAAAACCGAATAAAATTTCATATAAAAGTTTCTACAAACGAGCTAATTTAATTGAAAGTGATTGTGGTGCGAGGGTTTTATGTGAGATTTTTGTTGCACGTAATTATTCTCCCTCGAAAAAATTTCATTCCCACCATTTTGAAGTTTTAATTAATTTAATACATATTTTAAATATTTTTTACTTCAATTTTAGTAAACTACTATAATCTTCTATTATTTTATAAACCGTCTTTTAATCTTCTATACTATTTGCTATTATTTATGATTTTATAAACCGTTTAGAGAAATGTCTGCTCTTGTGTTTCCATTTTTTTCCTGTAATAATTTTAAAATATATGGCATTTTAAATTTTTAATCAAGCTGTACCAAAAAACTTTTAAAATTGTTCACTATTATCTTTTAATTTTAAAAAATTGTTTTGACAGATTTTTTTTTTCTTGTTTTCATTGTCAATTAATTTGAAATCTTAAAATATAGAACATCATAAAAGTATTTGATGATTGTATAATCAGTAAATTTAACAAGAAAAATATCTAAAACTGTCGTACATTGTTTTGTTCTTAAAACTGTTCCAAAAATTTTTCTAATCAAACAAATTTAAAAAAAATTGTTTTAACGTGATTTCCAAGCAGACTGCTTCATTTTAAAGCGTTATATTTAAATGATGATTGATGATTTTGTAAATAAAAAATGAAAAAGAAAAAAAATATATATTTTGAAAAGAATGATATGACTGCAATGAAAAAAAAATGTAGGGACCAAAAGAGGAGTGGTGTTTAGAGCTAGATTATTTAGCCTCTATTTTGATAACAAGTTTTTCTTTGTTTTGCTATCTACTATTTAAAAATGTTTTCAAAATCTTAGCCAAATTTTGGAAAAGCTTTAAAAAGTACGGTTTTCAAAATCTTAGCTAATGCAAATGTACTTTTAAGAAAAGTAAAAACATATTAAGGCAATTATGAGTGGACACACCTAATTTTTAAAAATAGAAAATTAAAAACAAAATAGTTATCGAACGAGATTTTAGTTTGAGGGTACGAGTAAGTTATCACATGATACAGTTTTTTGATGAATCGTAATCTTACCATATGGGTTTTGGTCGGTCCCAGATTCAGCAGAGGTACAAAGCTGCAACGGGTTACTTGCCGTTTATTTTCGAAGGTTCTTCTCCTGGCGCTGGAAGGTTTGGGCATTTGAGAATTAGAAGACGGATGCCTCCACATTAAATTGATCTGTTCCTAATTATGTCCAAAATTGTCGCATTGGCACAGTCAAAAAGTCATGCTTTATGTTTGATTTTATTATCATTGTTAATAAATTGTCTTTTTTTCTCTATTCCTTGTGCTAAACTTTTGGATGAAATGCGCTAAGAATACTATAGCTCTAATGAATCTAATTAATTTTCTAGTTCCCCCAAGTCTCTGATATCTATATCCTCTCTAGCTTCTCCAAAAGAATTAGGCTGTCTTATTTAGACTAGAGACGATCTAACGTGTTACAGAATAGAATTGTAACTTTTTTTTAGTTTTTTAAATTTTCGTTTAAATATTATTTTCGTCTTTGAACTTTTAAATTTGGTTTATTATGATCTATGTAATTTCAAAACATTTATTTTGGACCGATCAATTTAACCTCTATTTTATAAATTTCAACACATTTTATACACAATATGAATCATTTGACTTTAATACAAATTTACGTCTATGTTTCAAAGAATTTAGGGAGTGAAGAGTCATAACTAAAATTAGGGTAAAAATAGATGAGATAAAAATAAAAATTAAGGAATCAAAATTATCACTCTTTACATTTTGAAAATAAATTAACCAAAATAGAAACGTGTACAATTAATAAATTGTTTTGCCAGGAAACGAAGTTACTTCGGAATTCAAATGAAAATGAAGACATAGTTTGAAACTGGTGTGTTTTATCACACTAAAATTTTTAAGATAACTATATAAACATATAAAATACTATAAAAAGTTAAAAGTGTTTGATTAACTAAAACTACTTTTATTATTTTAAAAGTCAGATTCATTCCAAAATATTTTAGAATAAAACAAAAACTAAAATCGTGTATGAAACTTTAACCTAGTAAGGCATGTTCTAACAAATTTTCTCCCTGCTGCAGTGGGTTCCATTGGAACAAATAATTTTTATTTTAAGATTCAGACCTTATTTTGACCTCTGTATTTTTATACTGTTTCAATTCAACAAATTCGTTTGATCCCCATATTTTCAATATTCTGTGTCATCCAAATACTTTCAGGTATTTATTTTCTTATTCTTGAATCTTGCATAAAAATCCACTTCTGGCAGAGTATCTTTTCCACCCAGGCCATTTAAAAAGTTTTAAATAATCCAAATTTCTCCTAGCATATGGAAGGATTTTTTTTTTATTTTAGAATAAAAAAAGTAAAAATTAATTTCGACTGAGCAAATAGAAGGATTATATGAACGGGAAAATGCGTGGAAGTTGTACTACCTGAAGAGTGGAGGGTTGTTCGTCGAAGAGCTATCCACCTCCATCAGCGGCCACTCATTGTTCCGATGCGGGCTGCGGCTCAAACTCTTCCATAAAGTCATTGACCATCTCGATGTAAGCATCCAGATGAACTCGCTTCCACTCCTAGCGATTTGCAATAAAGAAAATTGTTCATATAGAAAACGATGGTCAAACGAAGAATAGCATTACAAATATTGCGTTTTCGTATACTTCCAATTTCCGATCAAATAAAAAATGCAAAATCACCTCTGACAAGATTTTCACACAGCAGCAATGCTAGATGAGAAAAACAAGACTCATCTACATTTTTTCTCCTCATAATCTTATCAGAAATCTGTTTATTCTTGGAAGCGTATGCTTAGTGGAGAGAAGTAGAACTAACCAGAAACATATTAGGGAAATTAAAATCAAACTTTAAAAAGTCTCCATCTATGGATTGGATTCATGATGCAAACAGGAAAGTGAGTCGAAACTAAATTTGAGCAGCTATCCTAATTTCACGGATAGAATTGGAGACAGGGAAACAAAAACGTGAAAAAAAAAAGAGAGAGAGAGAGAGAGAGCGAGACTTGATCCAATTATGTTACACCGAACGAAAACTATGAATATTAAGAAGAGCAAAAACAAAAACGAAGGATAGAATGTGTTGTAAAATGAGAGGTCAAAAACAAAAAGTTACTCCGTGGTGTGGTGCACAATTATGTTATTTTATAGAGTCAGATGCACGAGTAGAGCAACAAATTATTACGTTTCTACCTCGAAATCCCAATCTCCGTATAAGTCTGGATCTTTTTCGTTGCACCAAACATAGGCATACACTAATAATTTCTCAAAACTGTCCTGCAAAAAAGTCATCAATGGCCTCAAACCATTTTCTGAAAGCACAATCGTAGAGAAAATAAAAGGCAATGTTTGCTTATAACTATCTTCAACAGCATAAGTTATGAAGTTATACAATCTCTTCACAAGAATATTGCAAGTGCAGTAGAACTGCAATGTGATCTCAATGTTCATTAAGCGTTTCATTTCCATGCAACTACTGAAGGATAGTAGTAATGAAGAACTAACGATATTTATACATGTATTGCAAGTTGAAAAAGGATACCAGAAGGTTGTATTTTATACTAGTGTGCACTTGATTGAAAAGGATCTATGTTTTTCCGTTTCAATGAATAGGCCTAGTACGAAGTACTTGATCGTCAAACATAGTCGAACACTAATGACTGAATGAGTTAAATACTTACCATTAACGAGACCTCAACTGTGCTCCTCTTGTATTCAACATCTTCAAATGTGTCTAAAATATGCATTTCAGTGTCCGTGATATCAAAAAGAATCTGCAATGTAGGAGATAGTTGGTAAGAGTACAGGATAGTTCCATCGGAAAACGGTAAAACGGACATGTATAAAAAAATTGCAGTTCACTCGACTAGTTGACCACGGCTAAATTCAACACAGGATGGTATTACAGACCTTGCCAGATACTTTCTTGCTATCAACAGGTATGATCGCTGGATAAACTCGTCCTTTAATGCTTAATCTTTGACTGCAAATTCTCAACCAGATACACAGAGTTAAATCGTAAATTCATGAATAAAAGCTAGCAAACGAAGAATATTTTTAATGTAATCCTTCCTTATCATAGTGCTAATAGTATTAACTACGAATCAAAACCTTGAATACTAGAACAAGCAAATAGATCTTATGCAATAACAGTTTGCTAATAAATGTTAGGAGATCATCATCCGTAAACTTCCACAGAGAATAATTAAACAAAGAAACAACATAGATCCAAGTAAATCATAAGATCAATGCAGTGAACCAAATTCTCCTTTACACAATTATCATCGATGCAAGTTTTGTGCTAAAATTAACTAAGAAACAAAACCAAGGAAATGTAAGGAGCATAACAGTTAGTTAATAGAAGATCAACATCCATTAACTTCTTTAAATATGAATTAAACAAATAAGCAGCATAAATCCTAGTAAATCATAAGATTGATAGAGTGAATTGAATCCTCCTTTGAGGAACCAGCACGAGTTAACATACGATCGACGCTAATCTTACTTCGAATTTATGAAAATACAAGAAAATAACAGCAACGATTTGCAAATCAACGAGCTAAGAGTAGAATATTTCTTGTCTGTTCCTTTCTTATCATAATGCTAATATTAACTAAGAAACAAAACATAGAAAATTACAAGAATTATAACAGTTCGTTAACAATACTTAATAGAAGATCAACACCGACAAACTTCTGTAAGTACGAATTAAACAAAGAAACAGCAAAAGTCCGAGTAAATCATAAGATTGATAGAGTGAATCAAATCCTCCTTCAATAAAGCAGCACAAAGTAGCGTATCGTGGATGCAAATTTTACTTCGAATTTCATCAAAAGAAGAAGAAAATAAGAGCAACGATTTGCAAATCAAATAGCGAAGAGCGTAGAAGATGAAAGAACGAACTAGTGATTGAGGACAGCAGCGGAGGATTTCGGAATACGCTTCAAGAGTATATGAATGACTTCATCAGCTAAGAGAGTACCGTAGACGAAGACTCTATGGAGATTCTGCTGCGGACAAGCAGCCAGAGACGCCGAATTCATTTTCCCGCTGAAATCCCTTCTCCGGGGGATGAGTCTCAAACCAGCAAAACGAAAGGCATTTATTAAACTAGAAGTAACGAACCGAAACAAATTATTTAAGTGATATTTCAAACCAGCTGGCCCTTATTTTTTCATTTTTTTATTATTTTATTATCTTATTATTATTATATTATGTTTTGAGTACATTGCAATTCGAAGATTGGAACTCACGATTTCGCTTTTTCTTTTTTTTTTTTTGTATTATTTCACAAATTAGGTTTATATTAGACCATTCTTGTTTTTTTTTTCCTTCTCTGGGTTATGTTTCAATGAAGAAAAATAAAATTCAGTTTGGTGATTTTTTGCTTTTATTCTCTTAAATTTAAATTAAAAAAGTAAAATTTTTATATAGAAATTAAAGTTTTCAAATTTTTTATATTATATTTATTATGCATTCTATAAGTAGAGTGATCAATAATGCTAATAATGCTTAAATCTTTGTTTTAGAAAAGAATTATAAACAAAAACAAAAAAAAAACTTGATTAGAACAATTACCAAACGCTTATATTTCTAAAAAATTAGTAATGAAAAAAAACGAAAAACATTGTTGAACAGACCTATGTATTTGAAATTTAGAAACCAAACATAATCTACTAGACTCTAAGTTATATAAATCTCTGTACTAAAAAAAAAGTTATATAAATCTCTAGTTTATAAAGTTATATAAACTCAGATTTCTTTTCTTAATAGGATCTATTTTCATTTTCATTTTATTTTAAAAAGCCAATTTCCAGATAATTTTCTATTTCTGTTTTCAGAACTGTTAACAGTTTCCATGATGGCTCCAAAAAAAAAAACCGGCTTCCATGATTGAACGACAAATAAAGATTGATTTTACTAGTTACCTTAAAACTAGTGGACATAAATTCGTGAATTTTCAAAGGAATTTTATTATTTTGTTCCAAAAAATGGATCGATGATTCTTGAAAAAACACAACTACGAGAATATATCATACTGAAACAAGCGACGGTAGTCATTCTTCTCCTTAACCACATTTTCGCAGCAAATTATGGTTCATCCAAATAAACATTAGAACAGGATTATAATGTCCAAAGTTCATGATTGCAAAACGAACAGAACTACTACTATTGTAAATAACCGAGAGTGCTAACGATTTGTAAAGCTAAGTCCTAGTAGTAAGGTCGAGTACTAACAGATCTAAGCGTGGTAGTAACTGTCGTTAGCCATCTTTGGAAGTCTCTGGTTTGCTTCGTTTCCTTTGCGATGAGATATCGAAGTTAGGAATCTGTGGCTATGGCTTCAGGAAGGGGTTGCAGTTCTAAGGCTGGGATATGCGACTTGAGTGCAATGTGGGGTGCTGCTCCGAGCAGTTTGTTCTCCCTCGAGATTTCGTTTTCGAGAATCTCGCAGACTTTCCTCACCTCATTAGCAAGCTCGATCACCATTTCCTCCTCATGACCTATAAAAAAATGTTCAATGTTCAACGTTCATCTGCCTAAAAAAAATGGTGGTGAACAAAACCAAAGGAATGTTGCTAGAAAGAAACCAGCAATCTGAATTTGTTCCCATTTGGGAGTGTGGGAAGCTCACCTATGTCAAACAGTGCCTTCTCTAACATGAAAATATAATCTCTGTTGTTTCCACAAGGTCCAACGGCAGTTGCGATTTGTCTGTTACAAGTGAACCAAAGATCAGGAAGAACTAGTAATTGTACAAAGAAAAAATAGTGTTTAAAATGACAGATAACTTCTTACCTAGCCATATCGTCTAATGGGGCGGGACCAAGGTAGTATTTGTTAAGTTCTTTGTCAGGAGTGGATGTGAAACTGCATACCGTATGCGAATGGGTCAGAAATTTTTAACAAAGCGCAGATAGACATTAAAACTATAATTCTCTTTCGTTATCCTTTTGCTTATACTTTAGATAAGAAACGAGTAAAGCAAATGCTGGCACTTACACAATTACTCCTGTGAGGGCAGGCTCAAGACAGTTCTCTTCCTGAGTAAAGCCAATATATAGAATCAGCTTCTTGAAAATGTAGGAGTAATAATTGAAAAGGACACTAAGACCAATTCATAATCTCACCTTGTAGAAATTAACTAGTGTCTTTTGATCATATTCACATTCTCTATGCTCCAAATACTGCAATTGACAAAAAAGATTGAACAAATGGTTATTAATTTTCAACTGATTTGGGAATAAAGAAAAAGAAAAATGCAGTCACAAAATCATATTACTTGAACATTTAAATTTCAATAAAATAAATTTGAAAAGACATTTACTTACTTCCATTGCTACTCTTTCCCTTTCAAGACTTCCCCGCACACAGTAAGCTGCTCCCCACTGACAAGAAGTTCGAGATTCAGTTTTGGAATAAAAATGAAATGCATGAAGAGGAAAATGAAGTAGAGAAATGAGAATCATCAAGCTCAATATGACCTCCTATCCACTCAGAAAATATCAAACTTATTTAGATCAGTGATCTTACACAAATAGCTCCGTCTTCGTGTTCTAACGTGAGAGTTCTAGCAGGATTTTCCGGTGTACCTCTATGATCTATGCATGCTGGTCCAAATATGAGATTGTTATGAGCAAACAAATTAACATGGACGTCTACAATTGACTATTGTAAATAACATCTACAATAATTTTTGCTGGAAATACTAAACTTACCAAGGTCGAATACACGTTTATAATCCTTGATATAGCCTATAATTTTCTCATCAAATTCAAATCCTGGGTTCCACACCAGTGAACCATACCCAAATACCCAAAACACCATGATTATTGAGCTGCTTCCTGGAGAAGGGGAAAAAATCATTAAGATCAATGGTTTGTCCAACGATTTTTTTAAAAGATTCAATCGTATAGTTTCCAAATATTAAGATATTTATATAGTGCAAAAGCTGAATGAGTGAAAAAACAATATATAAAAAGTGCTAGTTATCATATCCATCCCCCATCCCCCACCTGCAACACCTTTTTGTTCTTTTCTCCACCACATAATACTACAAAGCAGCATTCACATTTTAAACTCAGTTTTTTTAGTTTTGGTCAGAACCAATCAAGGACTTCGTCATAGTATTATTTGCCTCACCTTCAGCGTTCAGCCATCATTTGCCAAATTCCGAGCCAAAAAAATCTAATGAAATGCAACAAAAGTTTCACCCATGAAACAAATAAAAGATCAATCTAAATGATTGACTTCGCTATTACATGGGGTGGACCCAATCCTCTCTTCTCAGAGCCCCGTCAGTAGAAAGCGTTGAAATGCTTATATATTTTCCCCAATCAGAAATCAAAATGCAGACTTAAAGAGCTAGACGAAAATAACAATTACTATAATGTTTCCATCGATTAGAGAACAATTTACAGGACAACATTTCTGAAATCGCCGATCACTGGTCTATGATCAGTCCAATTACGCACTCGTTCTAATTCAGAAACTTAAAACAGCAAAATAAAAACATGAACAGCGAATTCAAGCAGAGAATATAAAACACTAGAGTGCTATAAATAAACCCCGCATTGCATCGCAGATTAGTCGAGAAATTCCAAACACGAAAAGAACTGCACAAATTCCCCGATCAGACAGTACACGACATGATAAAACGAGTCATTAACCAAAAAAGAAAATCAAAATTAAAGTAAGAAAAACATGGTGTAAAGAGAGGCAGATGATTCAGTTCTTACGCGAAGATCCGAAAACTTTTCCCGGAAAATGAGAGAGAAAGAGGAAGATTGCGAGATTTCTTTTTCCTCCGATCTAATGACAATGCGAATCACTGAGGAAAAAGAAAATGTAGGAGAGAAATGGGGAGGACTGCAAGCTACACGATTCTAGGGTTTAGCTTCGGAATCGAGTTTTCAGAGTGGCTCTGTTCTTCCTCCCTCTAGAGTCTCTCTCTCTTCTCCCTCTCTCTCTCTCTCTCTCTCTCTCTCTCTCTCTCTCTCTCTC